TGAAATTGGTTTGCTTCATTAGCTTACTACTCGTTTTCGGGCATGTGATGTCTATATAGTCATAAAATTGGCCCAGCTTATGTACTGTGAATTATGTTATAAGATGGGCCAATTTTCCCCTTCGCGTGAATTTATGGGCTGTGAACCGCCCTGAGGTTGTTCCCGACTGCATTTTTGTACTTGGTTACTATTTCCTTCATTTTAACAACAACAAGGGTTGCTCTGTTATTGCGACATAGTTTTCTCATGTGCAAATTTTTAAGGTTTTACATTGATTTATGTTGCGGTTTGCTTATACAAGGAGATCATATGGACAATAAGGCACTCCACTTCAATCCTCGCTTCGATGCAGGTGGCGGTTGGTGAGTGTAGAACAAGCAATAAATCACTTTACTTATTTGTCGAGTGTGGCTAATGGCAAGGTGCTGGAGATGCTACCGCTTAACGCATTCACTTCAGGTTTTCTGGTCAGCCGGATCGCCAATTGGTTATCAACACGTATATAAATAATCAATGGGGACCAGAGGAACGATTCACAAACCCTTTTGAGCCAGGAAAGCCATTCCAAATACGGATACTTGTACTAGAAAATTATTTTAAGGTAAGTTTCACTGAGGATGAAATGTCTTCCGGACATCGAAACAGAAAGTTTTTAGATCGCCGTCAATGGAAAACATATTTGTGATTTTCCTCATCGAGTTCCTGTCAGCGAAGTGAAGACGATATATGTGGGCGGAAATATTCGTGTGGACTTTATCGAATTCCAACCTCCGGTGAGTATTAGGATAAGCTGTAGCCGAACGAACAGCTCTGGCCAGCTAAAGAAATTATTACAAGTGGAAAATGGGCGGCGATGTTAAGGGATCATCCTGAGGTCTGGAAAAAGCTTTTATGTTGATTCAAAAGCATTACACAACCTTTTTTTATGGTGGTCAAGACCAACAACAAAGCAATATGTGTGGAATGAAGAATTAACAGCATTCAAAGAGTCTCTCCTGGTTAGAGTCGGTGCCACAGTTGTTGAGAAACATTGGGTCTTCTAACATTGAACGCCCTTCAATCATGTGAGAGCAGAAGTTGGTTGGTAGTTTTCGCTCTGCTATACGAGATGCTGTTTGTGACCATCGCGATATTAGCAGCGTAAGTGAAGGCGAAGAGGGCAATCCACTGTGGGAAACCGACGGTAAAGAAGAAGCGATCCACTGTGGGAATTTGACGGTGAAGAAGAAGCATCAAACACATCTAGAGGGTCGCTCATGCTTTGGGAAATTAGCGGTAATGTAAAAGCAGGTACGAGCTTATCCCTAGGACGGCATAACCGTAATCAAATGGTAGTGCCACAGTGTTCAATTGGTCGGGCGCAAAAGGACGTCTTTCGCTGTTGTGCACGAACGTCTATTCCCGTTTCACTTGGTGCGATTGTCATCTTTCGATACTGGGAACTTATGACCATCTTGAAATAAACGAGATTTGCGAGTGTCGTCTGACAGCTCAACAAACTTTTGCGGAACTCTCACACTATGGTTGAGTCGTCGAATTCGTTCATGATAAGGGATGAGAGCTGCTTTTCATCCTCCATCTTACAAGAAAAGGATACTTGGTCGCAGTGGCCAATCAAGATAAGATGCATACCGCTGTAGGAGTTCTCGAACGATCTGTGATCAGGGTATAAATCTGCGGAACGATTTTTGGAGCGAAATTACACAGTCGCGTACCCACTATGTTATTCTGCTGTGTTGCGGCTTATACAAAGAGGAGTTGCAAACAGTCGCCTAATGGGCTCCACGACGTCAGGGAGGAAAGTGTCACATCATTCATCGGATCAAACGGTCTCCAGCATATTACCAGCAAAATGTTTTGCCCGAAGGTGTTGTTATCGTATTGTTAGAGGAACTCGGACTCGCGATAGAACAAATACATAAGCTTCATGGTATGAGGTTGCCTCCAACTTTGTGTTTTCGTCCACGAGCTACAGTTATTATGGTGCACCCGTAGGAGTCCATAGCTTCCCGGCGCTCGACTGCTAAAACGCCACACTCCCTCGTGAGAAACAAGTTCTTATTAACCACGACCGAGTTTCTATTACGGAAGTTAAGGGGAAGTGAGAGTAAACATGAGCCTGCAAATTGGACTATTTTCAACAGATAGTGATATTATACGTGGTTATGACTGATAAGTGCAAAAAGAGCAAGCATGCTTACAGTGGACAAGGTTTCGACCCGAGCCCTGGTATCGTGTCCCATTACGTTTACCTTGGTAAGAGTTTGTGAAATAATCTATTATCGTATGTGTACCCAAATTTCTGTTGAAGGTAGATAGAGCTGCCTAAAATTTCGTAAAACTTTCCTGGTGGTCGGGCACCTCTGCGCGATCAGTGGTAGTAAGGAAAACATCATTCAACAACACCAACACCTTGTGTCACCATTTTCTCGGTTCTACAAGTGCGAGGGAGGGTCCAGATGGTAATGGAGGGAAAAGGGAACGCAGAGACGTTTGCAAGCGTTCAGTACACGTTTCATGGAAAATCAAAATAAGCACATGCATCAAGGTTCCAACTTTTATTTCATGATTACTTGTCCACCCCCATACCAACTGTGCCACCCTTGCATAAATCATCGGGCTGCACGAATCGTTTATATGTTCAACACAGTGTCTTCAATTTGCCTTGGCTTATGAGAGAATCATTCTCAGATGAATTTTCACAATGCTTTGCCCTACAGATCTGTTATGATGGAACCGTTTACTTGGTGGACGTTTCGAACAAATAGTCATCTTCGAGGCATGAAAGCAGTTCGAAGCTTCTGATCTGCGGCTTACCCAACCAAGCGGGCAAACGCGTTAGTTGCAACAGCTCCTATAAACTTGGACACCAAAGGATCCCAACCGAGAATCCAGCCTCCTGCGGTTCCACCAACGTTGCCGTCCCACTCGATTTTGTGAACAGCAAGGACCAATGAGACAACATTGACCGTCTCGGCGGTAACAGTTACGCGGTGTTCTCAAAGTTCACATAAAGGATGACTGGCAGAAATTGGCCTATTAAGGCAATGTACTCATTTCGGTTGTTCAGCTCGAGATTGCTCGTGCGGACGTACAACCCTTTCAAGACCTTTCTAGCACCGATCTCATTCTCGTAGGCTAGGATTTTGCATGTGTCCAACTTCAGTGACGAAATATATATTGGTGAGACGGGAAAAATGTTAGACATAGGTGTCAAAGAACATGTAGCAGGTCAAAGGCGTGGAAGCCACTTCACACCACTTGGGAAGCATCGACTACATGTACATCAAGGCAACGATTTTGATAATAAACGCAAAATCCTAGCCTACGAGAATGAGATCGGTGCCGGAAAG